TCTAATTTGAAATTGTAAGTGGTTTCGAAACAGTAATTTTAATATTATAGAAATATGAATCAACTGCCTCAATTTTCTGAGCCTTATTTAAACTTAAAGAGTATCGTGATCGATATAAACTTTGTCAAGACAAATTATACCTGGAACGAGTCTATACGTAAGTCATAAAGATCTCCAAGATTACCAGTTCTACCTGAAATATTACTTTATCAATTGTGGTGCAAAAGATATAGAATTTCACAAATGCTCAAAAACTAATGTTATGTTTAACATGTTATATCATGTTACATTTATATTTAAAGATTCCCCCTGAAAACCTTACCGCCTGCTAGGCTCGCTAGAGGTGATCGATTTTCAACTGCGCGTTTGTCCTCGCGCGTCACATCAAGTTCACCTTTCGCACGCTGCATTTAGCCTAGTATATATATATATGCAAAGTAATGTGGTTGTCATGACTACTATATATATATATATATATATATATACTATATATATATAGTAGTCATGACAACCACATTACTTTGCAAAGTTAAAAAGCTGCGATCTTTTATTTAGCCCAAAATCAAACTTTTCGGTTTAGTTTTCGGTTTAGTCAGCTCCTGGAAAGCTAACTTTAAATTTATGAGACGGAAATCTTGTTGAAAACCGGAAGGTTCTATCTATTTTACTTTTGGAGATAGACCCCAGCCGGTAGGGTTTGCTGGGTATAATATTAATAGCCTACGCGCGTTCAAAAGAATTTGCACTTTCATTCTAAAACGCTCACTTTGACAAACCATAACTCGCCACCAATCAAGTCAAATTTTAATTTTAAAACATCAAAAGAAAGTAAAGAATTTCGCCAATACGATAGGGGACTCCAAGTCTTGGATGGGGTCGTAAAAACGCGATCTTCACCATCAAAATTGATTTTTAAAACTTCATACATTGTACATTTTCCGTCAAAATAAGTCTTATATTATAATTAAAACACCCCCCCCCCCCCCCCCCCCCCCCCCCCCCCCCCAACCTCCCAGCACCCGCCCCCACTTAAGCTTCCCCTGTATTGTCGAAGACGATACAGTGAAGCGACAGTGGGGGTCACCACGTGATACAAGTCCTTACCACTTGCCGGGCTCGCTAGAGGTGATCGATTTTCAACAGCGCGTTTGTCCTCGCGCGTCACATCAAGTTCACCTTTCGCACGCTGCATTTAGCTTAGTAGTAATAGTCATGACAACCACATTACTTTGCAAAGTTAAAAAGCTGCGATCTTTTATTTAGCCCAAAATCAAACTTTTCGGTTTAATTTAGAATCTAAGTTCCCAAACTATGCTCCTAGTCCTGGGGAGCTAACTTTAAATTTACGAAACGCAAATCTTGTTGAAAACCGGAAGGTTCTATCTATTTTACTTTTGGAGATAGACCCCAGCCGGTAGGGTTTGCTGGGCCACGGTTTTAGAACAATCCCGAAGATCGACTGTAAAGTGATTTAGCACGCTCGCTGGGCCACGATAAAAGGAAAACTTTTGAGCTAGACGTTACTCGTCAGCTCTGGGAATATATAAATATAATTGATACAACACGTTTTTTTTTTCAGAAGCTTTTAAATAGAACGCATCAGCCATCTTTAGCTTAAAAAATTATGATTGGGCGTAATTTTTACGTTTTAGAATAAATGAAAAATGAATAAAGAATGAAAACTTAAAAACATATCAACTATTTTACAGGTAATTCAATATATCTTACCTACTGCTGCACGCTCCACCATGCTTCCCTCGATAACGTTGTTGACTTGTTGCTCAGTTGCTAGTTAACAATAACAATGATTGAATATATGCTTAGGTTTTCGTGAATACTGATCACTGATTAGTCGTTTAAATCAATTCGTGGACACTATGAGCAGAATGTCACTCAAGACCTAACACTACCGAAATGTCGAATAAAAGAGAATAATGACAAGATATTTAACATCAGTGACTGTGATATATTTTAAATTGTGTAGATAGATAAGAATTTCTAAAGAACATAATTCAAAGCGCGTGATAATATTACAAACGTCTAGAATATACCTCTGCTATCTATCAGCAGAACCAACACATGAAGGGGATGGCGTGCACGTAGTACCAGTGCAGCTCTGCATTTTAGAAATTTAATTCGATCAAACGTATTTATTTTAGTAGCAGAATGAAATTAAGTTTGCATTTCGATATGTTATGTGCACCGAATTCATGTAGGTACGCAAGTTATATGGACACGTTCATTTGAGTTTGAGGATATTGGTAAACAAAAATTATAGCGTTTTCGACGATAGTGGCTTAATTTTGACATCTATTAACCTAGCACGTTCAGAAGTTCTGAACATTAGCCACGTAACCCATACTCCCATATGCACTGCTCACAAAGAAAATCTATTGTTGTTAGGCACTATAATGGTTCAAATGTCACATTTTGTGTGACTTAGTTAACTGCAGTTGTCTAATTATCATTCCTTGGTCTGAAATATAGTAGATTAGGTCAATCTAACAATTATGATACAACATTGGTTAAAGGGCACGGATCGAACGGTTACAAGGCAATATTTGGGTAACTTTGTCACACTCAGAATACCATACCTCTATTCTACTATGAAATGTCCTCAAAAACCTTTTAACTCATTATTTGATGGTTGATCTACCAATCATAGCCCTAAAATATGTTGTTTCGAATAGTTAGCTAAAAAGGAACTTGGTTATTGGGAAATGAGGTAAATTCCGTCACAATATTTGGAATTTTAAATTTTGGGCGAATTATTTATATCTGATTTTGGTTTGAAAGGCGGGAAAACTTTGATGACAATGTAGTTGATGCAAGTTAAGATCAGTGTTTACATTGTCACAAAAAATGATACGAAATCGTAAATAGGTTAAAAATAATGATTATAGAATGAAATAGTCTCTCATAATAACTCTTATAATAACTGATGTGACAAAGTAAACATGTCTTGCCCCTATTTCGAAGATCTATATATTCTATGACTCTATTAGCATTCAACATTCTTTCAGACAAAAATCGGTAGAATATTGTCCAGAACATCAAAGCTCAAGTTTAACAATTTTAGGTTAAAATTGTTAAAATCACTAAAAATGTGACAAAATTGACTTTTCCTGCCCCAACAATTTCAAGATAGTGTGTAAAAATTAGCATAGGCTGCTTTATTACCTATATAAATCAATCCAAACTACGAAAAAGATCTGTTAATCTGATGACGATTACCTAACTCTAATAGTAACTGATGTGACAAAGTAAACATGTCTTGCCCCTATTTTGAAGATCTATAACTCTTATTTAAACTCTATTAGAATTTAGCATTCTTTCAGAAACGATTGGGAGAATATTGTCTAGAACATCAGGTCTCAAGTTTAACAATTTTAGATTAATTTGTCAAAGACGCTGAAAATGTGACAAAATTAACTTTCCCTGCCCCAAAAATATCAAGATAGTGTGTTAAAATTGGCATAGGATGCTTTATTGCCTATATTAATCGATCCAAACTACGAAAAAGATCTGTTAATCTGATGACGATTACCTAACTCTTAAAATAACTGATGTGACAAAGTAAACATGTCTTGCCCCTATTTTGAAGAGCTATACTTCTATTAGAATACTATGTAACTTTATCATCAATGAACTAGTTATTTTGCCAGCAAGGAGCTAACAGAGTTATAATAATTTTTTTGTGACGAAATTACCCTATTTTTGACCATGTTGCGGTAGTTTAATTGTGACACTGTTAACATGTTGCCACCCGATAATGATTTATGTGACTGGTGCGTGGTACTAGCAGTGTTGTTTGATCCATAGTATGTAATATAAGGGGTTTAAGCTGGTATATCATGATTTGTTTAATTTCACACATGTTCAGATATCATCAAGATTATGTGACAAAGTAAACTTGTTTGTGCCTTCTGTGTTTTAATTCCTTACGACTATATGATATAATAACAATTCCCAGCACTTCCAGGCCATCAAATAAACCTACACTACTCAGCATTGATTATCAGGGTGCCCTAAACATTCTTCACATGTTTTCTTAAATGTGTGACAGAGTAAACCTGAGTGCACCATCTAACGAAAAAAGTCGTCAAATATGTAGGTAATGGTCATATGTACCCATCCAATCAACTGGACACTCAAAAATTTGATCAAAAACGGCAGCAAGGGGTCCATATTTACTCCGTCACATGTTTATAGTGTGACAATGTAACCATTTCCGTGCCGGCCGTATTTAAGCGATATCTTATCACCTGATTAAGATATGGTTAAGTGACAAAGTTAGCCTAGAGGATGAAACGATTATCCTAACCATCAAGGGTTTGTGTAATTTCATAGTGTGACAAAGTCGACTACACTGTGCCTTTTAATAGGGTCACTTATATTTACCAATATCCTCAAACTCAAATGAACGTGTCCATATCGGTAGTCCCAACAATTAAAGTAACAAGATCGAAAAAATGTACTCGAACAGAATCTTAACAACTAAGAAATGAGCTCATTGTAACGTAGCAACTTGAGTAGAAAATCTTACACTTGCACAATGCAAAGCAGCCTGATCGTTTGACTGGCAGAATGGCTGGCATTCTTAGTGTAATTTCATCTTATGATAATACCGTCATACCCGCATATTATTATATACGAAGATAATATATGGTGTAAGTAAACTTCAAAGTATTATTGGAAAGAATGGTGATTACTCGTGGTGCTGCTACGAATCCAAAAATTAATAATTGTGGATCACAAATATTGACTTGGAAGGGTTGGAAAATAGATACAAATTTGTAAAAGATATTGATACGAAGTTTTGATGGTATCGAAAAATGAAATTGAATTTTCATATAAACTTGTATTAACATTGAAATGGGAGAAACAATAGCTCAGTTTCTGATTTTTAAATGAAAGAAACAGAAATAATATCTCTAAAAATTTTAACATAAAAATCATGAGACCTTCGGAAACAACACGTATATATCCAAGCAGATACTTGAAAAGCACAAATAAGCTAATAACTTTATTAATTTTATTAAATAAATATTATCATTAAATAAACTAATAACTTCATCAATTAATCTTAAACCTATTCATTTTTCATTGCATTTAAAAAGTTCTTTTTTGATTCATGATTCACACTGTTTTGACCTTGCGCCGACTGCTGTTGTTGAAGACGATGTTGGAGATACCTGAATCAATCAGTGCTAATTATAAATGATGAATATGTCAATTATAACTAATAAAATATATCAGTGATAATTATATTATTAGATACGTCATTAATAAAGCACTGTTACCAAGTAAGTTAACACTTAGCCAATAGCCATTAGCCATGAACACTAAATATTAAAGGTTAACAAATACAAAAACGAGGAATCTATTTAGTGAAAGTGGGGGTTTATTTTCAACGAAATAGATTTATTCACTAAAAATCCTCAAAGGAGAAGAAGCCTCACCTGTTTTTACACCATCGTAAGATTCCAGTAACCACGTACAATACAAGCAACGTCGATACCAGAACAAATATCTTAACGTCTATTAGATAATACTGAAATAAGGTTGTATTTTTTAAGAGATTGGATTATTCAAACTGAAAATGCATACTAATAAGGAAAAAACACCTAAGAGTATTTTCTGTTTTCACTTCGATGAGGTTATGGGCACAAAATCGGATCTTGCTCCCATATAACCCTCCCCTTTCAACCCCAACCTTTTTTCCTCGTTTTTTGTGGCCCGACCTGAACTAACCTGGAACCAGTACAGATGCATAGAGTGAGACTTGAGGTAAGAACAGCCCCTGTTCCTAATACTGTAGTGTATCCAGAAGATAGTAGTATCCAGTGGGGACGATAGAGTGTCCCTCATCTGGTTGGAGAGTTGCTGGATGTTGTTTTTAAACTTGGGGTTTGTTATCACCTGGAAATGAAAAGGGCTGGTTACAGTAACATTAGGTTTAATTCTGCTTCCAAATGTAAAAATAATAGATAACTGGAAATTGCTCAACGTTAGTTGAAGATAGTTGACTATGTACTTCAATTCAAGTCTGACAGAGTGTATAATTAATATTTCAAATCATTACCTCCATTATCCCATTGATGAGCATTTCCTCGGAGAAGGCGTCAATAAGGAACTTTATTCCTATCTTTTTCTCTTGAATGTAATCAGCGTTTGCAAACTGAAGCCAACGTATTTATAGTGTATACCATAACATATATATAGAAGCAGTAAATTAAATGTAGAAGCAGTAAATTAAATGTAGAAGCAGTAAATTCAATTTCATTGCATTGATCAACAAGAATTTTAGAATTCATCTTGGAATAATTCCTATTTCATCAACAGCAGTAATTTTCATTTCAATATCACGAACCGACTTCGGGAAAGAAAGATTAATAACTAATGACTTTAAAAATATTTAAAATATCCACCTGAAGAGGGTTGAAGAGTGGGAAGGCGATGCACGGTACAGCGTGATAGATCGTCTCTTGTCGTGAAAAGTGTCCTGCGTGCGTTATGAACAACACCACTTTCGGGTGGGCGAGTACACTTTGCTGGTCAATGTATTTGACTGGCATCACATTTTTTGTGAGCTCGATAACACTGAGGTCATCAAATACCCATATCACGCGCTGCCTCACCTGTGCAGATGGTAAGAATAAGAACAGTTACAGTTAAAGTTGAACCTGTAATCTACACAGTAGATCTATTGAAATAGATGGTCCGCTTATCCAAAATAAAACTTTGTGTCACGTGTGTGTGTCATTTAATAACACAAACACACGAGCTAAATGAGGTATGGAACTACTCTCACCCTCCCAAAGACATTAACCAATTTCATCAGACTCGCAAACGAGAGTTTGGAAGGTTTCAGGACAGTTCCAAAAGACACGAATATAACACCGTGAGGGGCTTCGTCTATGAACTTCAGGATATCCTCTGGTAATGCCTCCGGACTCCCATCTCTACACTGGATGCCTGGATTGAGGGTAGCTGTTATGTCATATGGTGGTGTTAACTTACTGATGGAAGGTGTCTCAAATCTGAAAATTTGGGTAACGGAAACTTACGAAACAGTCCCTATTCCCTAAGCAGGCAAAAATGTTACGTTACCAGTAGTTCCAAATGTATAATGTATAATGTATATGTATCAAGTTTTACAAACCTCCGATGGGCACGACACTGCTAAAAGTAGGTAGCGACAGATCAATACCGAGATTAGCGTCCTGCATAATCAGGGAAGCTCGCTGATAGCTGTCCAGTAATGAGATGTGGGAGGGGATGGTTTGGTACGCTATACTGTTCACACTTCGGTAATACCTAAATTTTTTTTTGGAAATTTATTTTTCAAAATATACATCATAGTACCTAAAAGGGTGGGTATTTGTGATTGGGAAATTTACTCCTTCATACAAATATGTATCATTTTTTACAATCCACACATTATTTTCAACTCATCCTGTAGAAGCTCAGCTGTGTCACTGTCGCAATCAAAATCTACATAAACTACGATACGGGGTGTTATTTTCAGCGACCAGATACCAATTTTATTTGACAACACCTAAGGGGTCGTTCACATATTACGTAGTCACTGAGGGAGCATTTCCAAATGATGACGCTAGTGAGATTTTAACACAATAGCTATGTGTAAAACTTATTATGGAGAGGGTACAAATCGGCCAAAAAGTGATTACGTAATATGTGAACGACCCCTTAACAGAGCAGGATGCTGGCGTACAGTTAACCGATTTTTACGTTAACAATTGTGCCACTTACCACCAGTGCATCTTGTGAAGAAGCTTCCTGTAGTTGAAAAGCGCTTTCATCCGCTTAGTGAAGGAGAGTTTGTCATTTAGTGACCACTGGTCAGGGCTGTAATTAATTGTTTGTGATTAGTTAATTAATATAATTAGTAAATTGATTAATATAATTAGTTAATTCACCGTAAGTGATGTTTACCTTTTATCACTATTAGTTATCTCTCGCATTATTTCAATTATATTTATAGACTGTAATAGTCAACTACTTCAGTCTTCATTGATAAGTTAACGGGTGATACTCGTAAAATATTTGTTCCTCGTCGACCGTCGACGAGTCAAACTCGGCGCGCGTCACTGAATTGATAAGTGAACGTCACGTGATATTATTAGTAGTGAGTGTTTCACCTGAAAGATGGCTGCTCCGGAACCCCCAGCGAGTACTTGATATAGGACGGGACCCTGTTAGTTGTACTCAGTATAATAAAGTTAGCCTCAGTGGCTATCAGGACCGGGAGGACGCATTCGTTAAATTCAGCATTAACTATCACTACATCGTACTCTGTGTGCTGTACGGAGAGGAGCCGGGAAATCTCTGGTTCTGCGTAGAACTGAATGGTTAATTAGTTAATTAATAGGTTAATTAAGTTAATGGGTTGGTTAATTAAGTTAATGGGTTTGGTTAAGTTAAGCTAAGTAAGTTTACAACACTTATGTTGTATGCTTTTATTAGTCTTATTATGCTGTTTAATGAGTTCCTTATTTTCATTTAATGGACGCTATTAGAATAGACTTAGTGACCTATATACTATGTGAATTAGGAATTCAGTTAAGTTAGATATTTACTCAGCTAGGATCATTCAAATCTAGAATACGTATCAAGCACTCAAACAGAGAAACTTGCTTGAATAATGAATTTGAGTTTGAGAGGCGAGTATATAGACAAAAAAGTTTTATTTTTTAATTCACTTCACTTCATAACTATTACCTACCCAAACTAAACACACCGCCTCATCTTCACTGATCACTCATTCACTCATTCACTCAACTCAATAATTCCCTCACTGACTCACTAACCTGACCGCATGTAGCTACAGCGTAATTCATCACATCGTAGAAGTTTTCAGTTTCTGCACCAGTTAAACCCGTTTGTTGAACTTTCGCCAAGTTTTCTGAGGACGAATAATTTTTAACCATCAAAAAATGGAACAGCATTAAACATGATTTATCATTTGAGACAAAATCCTGTTTACCTATGGAAATACAACCTAAATTTAACTACCTTATCTAACATTATTTGACCGGACATAATTATGAACGGACATAATTATAAACGGACATTAAAATGAACACTCAAAGGCATTCAAAACCATCAAAAATTCAAATTTGTTCATCTTTTTTTTAAACGTTTTTAAAATTTTAGCAGATAATTTGTAAATTAAATTTTCATACAATGAGCAAGAAAGGCAGTCGTTAAGCAGTAAAAAATGTCAAAATATCTGTAGATCAGTGTCTATGATTATGAAAATTGTGTAAAACAACAGATACGAAATATGATTTGATGATCATATCACAGGTCATCTTCCTCAAATGGGTTATCATGCATTAAATATTCCATGCTTAAAGCATCATATCAGTAATACCTGCTTTTTGAAAACAATTTTTTATTCGACCACTTCGGTCCTGCATTTCAGTGTAAACTTTTACAAGATGTGGAGGTAAATGATAACTCCGAAGAAGTGAACGAGGAAGCCGAAGATCAAGAAAGTGATCATGCCATAATGTGATACTTAGAATTTTTAAATTGTATAATAACTCGTTTTTCATTTGTCATTGATCCAATGATATAGTTTAGTTCGAATCCGATGATAGAAATTACAATTGACTGAAATTAAAAAGTTGTCATATCCTAAACATGAGTTCGCGGTGGAATAATTTTGGAAAAAAATCTCAACGGACTTTAACTTGGACGGACCTTTAACGGACGGACTTTATTTGAACGGACATCAAGATAAACGCTAGGACCTCCAGCGTTCAACTAATGTCCGTTCAAATAAGGTCCGATAAGGTAGACTATTCAACTCACTGATTGTGATTAATAAATAAATTACCAAGAGAAATGAAGTTAGTTTGAATAGGGAAGCCTAGTAAGCTGAAATCTTCGTAAGAAATTGGAGCCATCACAGTGACGTTATCTTCATTGTCGATCAGTCCTTTTGCCATTACTGTTTGTATCTGTTGAGAAGAAATAAAAGATTAAATTTAAATCTAATAAGAAAATAAGTTTATCCGTATCGTACGATGGTGGTGCCTGCGGATGAAGATCAAAGAAAAATAAACAGGCACTGGTGACAAGTTCATGCTTTAGATCATCAATAAAATTAATTATAATTTGCATTAATTATAAATTAATTACAATGTGCATTAATGTTTGAACATACCCTGACATCTTGTCGGTAGAGAACTGATGATAAGAACAACACGTGAGCCCCATTCCCGGAGTCTAACAGAAGGCAAACCGACAACACCAGCTGAATGAAATTCTTCCCAAGCATCGCAAAGTCACTTTCTCTTTCACACTTTCTCTTTCTCTTTCACTATTCACGCTAGTTTAGTCCCAGGTGGTGGTAGAACTATCGAGGGTTTGATCCACGTCGTGTTTCCCGTAAATGCCCACTCTAGCTTATGCATAGAGCGAGGTTTTGGGCGGATCAGAGAATAGGATGGTGTGTAATAATATCAGTCACATACTTTGGAGTGGTCCTATTTGAGAAATTGTGTTATAACATTGTAGGTTTATAACCTACCAGGACGCGCGCCGAGTTGGACTCGTCGACGGTTCCTAATATTTGGAACAAATATTTTACGAGTATCACCCGTTAAGTTATAACATAGATTTCACAGAATGAATTAAAAGACAAAAACAATTTTTGGCATTTCACTTAAGAAAATACAAAGATACTCTTAATACTAATTACTACTCAGTTATTATAATTTGTACGGTCTCTGCTCATGGTGCACACAAAACTCCAGCATCTAACCATCAACACGACCAACGAACTCATCAACATCACTTTCCAACCACCAAACTCCTCATTTACACCGCACTAAAATCACCCCACACAAGACATTATACAGTATACACATGTATCATTATACATATACTCGCTGGAGGTACTGAGGGAGTGAGTGAGTGGTTGTATACGGTGTTGTTGACAATGTAACCCTACACCTCCCTACCAGACTATGTAATATAATCCCTAACCGACCACTGAGTTGTTCCAAAACTTCTTACCACCCTTATATATAATACCCACCACCAAGTAACAACCCCGTTTAGCGATATACATTTGTGGTTTAGTTGTTGGTCGCGGGCTTTTTTGTTGCACGTGTGATTTGTGATTGTTTGTTTCGTGTTGATTATAGCTGGATAAGAAGCAGATAGGTGAGTTTGTTTGTTTTTTATTGGTAGAAATTATTGACGTTGATTAATTTGTAATGTGATTATGACGTGTATGTACCAAACTAGCGTACAGTACGACTGACTACTCTAAAAACTGAGAGATATTTGGAATTACAGAATCCGTGTTGACCATGAAGGACTAAGGAGAGCAAATTGTTAAATCTGAGTTTTAATTAAGCTCATTAAAAGTAAAGTAAGTGAAGAGTAAAATTCGATACGATCAAAGTTTGATACGAATAAAGTTTAATACGATTAAATTTTGATGCGAATTGGATAAGGATTAGAGAAATTTAGTCTAGATCCTTAGAAGGCCAGCCTTTCTATAATAACTCAATTCTAGACCTTAAGAATAAAGTTAAACTTGCAAATACTTAAGATAAATTCCTATTTTAAAGAGCGAATCATAAAGTTCGTATGAAAAGCGTGATCTGTCCTCCAGTTCCAGACCTTTTAAGGAAGTCTGAAAATACTCGTCTGTACAGTACCTATGTTATAGACAGTGGGCTGCAGTAATGAGCCGTATTTTTAAGGTAGAATAAGGTAAAATCTCCAAAACGAAAGTATAGAGACTGGTCTGTAAAATTGCCTTTTGTGAAAATCATGCTTGTATCATGCTTGTCTTCTAAATACTTTTGGTTTGTCTCCCTAACTCATTAGGCTACATTACTGCGATCTGTAGCCTGATTAAAATCAAAATTATACCGTTTCTTAAGAGGCAAAAATTGGAAGTCTGTTCTCTGGATTTTGCATTATAATTGTCTTACAATCTGAAATTTATAAACTGATATCCGTCTATATTCAATATTTGAGAAGCTTGTTTCGCTGCAAACTGTAAGAAAGTAGAAGAAGTAGTATTACAATCAGGATTTCTGGAATAGCGGCTAAAGTAACAATAAACAAACCCCCACAAATAAGGTACAACAGTCAAATAGTACATACAATTCACTGCAGTACTCGTATAATAGTACTCGATCACGAACGTCACAACAGCAATCTGAACCAAATCTGAACCACATACAGCATAATAAATGCACGTACTAAGAGCGAAACTACCGTCAGCACATCTACTAAGCAAATCTCAAACTAACAACCCCGACTAAAGTAAAATAACGATTACTCCGTCTACAACAGAGAACTCCAAGGTAAGGGTCATATGGGGGGAGGGGGGTCCGCAGCAACAATAACCTGTGTGCACTGCTCCCCCTTTATAGTAGTCCCCAACCATATATCATGACGTTTACAACCACAGTTAAATTGTATGGCACAGTACTAAATACGCAGAGTAAGATGATGATGTCACGAGGAGTGTGTAACTGTATGTAACTAGAAGGCGGAAGTGCCTAGAGAGAGGCTTATAATGGGGAGGCAATGCTCACTACTACCTCTAGTTTGGCACGTGACCACTACTGCGACATTTATACGAGACATTTTAAACCAGTCCACACGCACCTAGTTATTGGTGGACTCTTAAAAGAAGCGGAAGTGGCCGTGCCTTCTCCAGGCAGCAAATTGGAATATGAGAATATAATATGATAATATAACATGCAGGTCTGTATATAATACGCCCGAATAAACGGATAGCAATAATGTACATATATAAGATATATAGACAATATCCCAGGGTGATATCCCAGCAACACAAAACACTGTTCAAGTAGCTCATGTACATTGACGTTGAGCATCTTAAACAGAGTTTCGAGTTCCTCAGATATAGATGAAAGCAAATCGCAAAGCGTCATCAGCTAAATTGTAACAAGACGGAGCCGGAATTTTATAAACCTTACCTGTAAATAAGCTGATAATGCAGCTACAAAAGTAGTTAACTATGTTTGAAGTTGACTGGATAATTTCCTAAGAACTTACGATTCTGACTGACTCTGGATTGTTTCCGGAGAGTTTGACGGCCTTTGAGTTAATTGTATGATAATTGTCCTGCCTGAACAAGTGGTTGTCACGTGACCTGCTGACGTCACGTGACCTGCTGACGTCAAGTGACCTGTCGACGTCACGTGACATGCTGACGTATAACTTTTAGGTCCACGTGTAGGGATATCATGGATAAAATTATTTCAAACCGGGATCTGGTAGTAATTCTGCGGCCTCTATGTATATTCTCGCACAACTCCTTAAGAAAAATAGGTGCTGGGTATGACACTGATCGGGTACGTCACACGAAATCCACTTATGTCACGTGACTCAGCACAGTCCCTGATTCCTACAGAACCTTGCTAGTACGTATAGCCATAAGCCAGATGATTTTGGCTGGTGAGTAAGAAGGGAGGTTTTATAGGTTTATCTAACCCTTTCAGAACTGAATATTCAGCTAAACTTTATGCATGATCAGAAATGCGTCATATTACCAATACCATTGACGCAACTACACTGTAATTGTTACTACGGAAAACCCAACTGAAAGTAAATTGTAAACAGACGCCCAATAGACGCTCAATAGACGTCCGAACAATGATCCGAACAATGATCCGAACAATTATCGGGCTTAACGTTTGATGTAAAAATAAACATTATCTTTTAAGAAAAACATCAGGCTGTTAGTGTACTGGTCATGGGAAGCGTTTCTAGACTATGCAGGCTCGTATCACGGCCATTTAGGCTCGTATCACGGCCATTCAACTAGACAACTCAACATAGTCTCCCAACCGCATGACTGAACTGAAAGTTCAAATTTATCAGGCTAAGATCTAAGCACCTACAAACCTCCGGATACACTGGTATATACTGATGATAAATTGTTGTTGGTGTGGCAATCTTAAGATTTGGTCAATGATTTAATCTATCCCTCTAATCCTCCTAAAGACTTTAATAATCCATGTATCCAGTAAATTCAACCAACGACAGCTAGGGAAGGGGTGGCTCCAGGAAGTTGAAATGTATGATTTTAGACTCCTTGTCGAGAAAATCGCCATTATTTCTCGAGGAGAGCATAATATTGCAAGATAATATGAATTTCCAGTTACAGATGTCACGGTGATGTGTAGGTGCAGCTCTGAAGCTTGGGTAAGGGAACCTGAAAATATGTCGGTATGCGCTAAATGTATTAGAATAAGCGACCTAATTCTTTTGATTTACTAAATTTTTTAGCATTTTTGAATGAGTGAGATGGTCCTATCATGTATAGTCAGTGGAACATCAGAATCATCAGCAACTACAATTAATAAACTACGATAAATAAAATTAAATGCAAAGCTGAGTGCTTCAGCTATCTGCTCAAATTTTTAAAACATATTTGTTGATAATACTTAAATACATATTATGGAATTGTTTGATTTTCTACCCGAGACTGTATTCTAACCTAATAGGTCATTTTATTTTAGTTTCTATATTGGCTTTGCCCTACTCTGACTCAGTCTCTCCCCATCACCGGTTTGGCTGAGAAATAATTACATAATTACAAGTATTTACCCCCATAGCATAGGGACAAACGACTCCTATAGAATTCAACTTCAAGTTCAAGTCTACAACAAAACAATTCATCGTTTCACTTTAATTAGAGCTATTTCAATAACTGTTCACTTTTTCCACTTGGAAGCGGTTCGGACCACTCTTCCGAGTACAATGAGATGAAAATAAACATAAACCAGCCAGTAAATATCGAAATAAACCCGTTCACGAATCAATTAGAATCCACAATTAATTACAATTACATAACCACAAACCTTTATAAACCTCAGTTGATAGTGGATCTAACGTACCAGTACTCAGGTTTTCGGACGGAGTAATATGTACTTACAAACAATTACAAGCAATTACAAGCAATTACAAACAATTACAAACAATTACAAACAATTAAAAGTGGCCAAAGACCAGCTTTTAAAGCGTGTCGAACATGAAAAACTGCGGCGATTGTAAACTTAAAGGTCTTTAAGCTGGTAATGAACCACAGGTTCGGTGTACTTTATTCTAGTAATATTGAACATACAGGAAACTGGTTGTTGATATATTATGCTTTCCTTTAAGATGAAGAGTGTCGTGATGGTATTGGCTTGCTATTAATATTATCCATAGTTATATTGAATTAGGTTTATTTGACCACTATTTCAGTTAGCAATTAAGTAGCAATGACCCATTAATATCATAGAAAGGTTACTAAGTTTCATGTTGATATCATTCATCAACAAGTCAGAAAACAGCATTATCAAATGTAAAGTTGATGAATCAAACCTAGACACTAGCATCTCCATCACTGATATTATTTAATTTTTTAAACCACAACTGACGATGATTTTTGGTTAAGAATAAGACTTCACGAAGTAAAATGTTTTCATTTCACTCGATGAAGTCCTA